ATCATGATCCCCGCCTGGCGTACAGCCTCCTTCGCAGCAGCCGCTTGGTCCTCAGGGACGGGGTACGCAGCAAAAAGTGAAGACAGATCCGCAGTCGACACCGAGGGCTGCACACTCGTCAGAGGAATGGCGAAAGTCACAGAAGCCCGAGTGGGTTCGCCATTGTCCCGAGCTGCGGCCTCAGGCGCCGGAGTGGGTTGTGGGGTCTTGCCAGCCGACGCCCTCTTCTTCCTCTTCACTCTCAGCGGTTTGTTGTCATCGTCATCCAGGAGGTCGATAACATGAGGAGGGGCTACAAGGAAAACATTCAATCGACCAGAGTTGCAATAAAGGTCCAGTCGACTCAAAAGCGGAACATCAGCGATCGTACCAGGGTTGGAGGTAACAACGTTCTCCATCTCTTGGTCGTCGTCCTTGGCGGAGACCTCAGAAGTAGCACCGCTGCAAATCTCGAAAGTCAGTCAGTTGGCTCAGTGAATCGACCAAGGATCCGTCCACGGTCGACAAAGGAAAGCAAGTTTTATTATTACCCGGAAATGGTAGGAACAGCTATCTTCATCTTGGGCAGAGCCTTGGGCGGCTTGGATGGCGTCGCTCGTGGGTGCTTGGGAGCCTTCCCAGTCGGCGGAGGAGGAGAGGTCCGAGGGCGTTTCGACGACTGCCCAACAGGAGCAGTCGCCTTGCCACGTCCCCGCGCTGGATCATGTGTGAGCTTGGATCGCCCCTCCGGGCGGGGAGGTTCAACCTCCTCCTCCTCCTTGCTGGAGTAGACGTCGTCGCCTCCCTCTCCTTCACCATCAGACTCCCACTCGCCTTGGTCATCCCCGCTCTCGCCTCCGCTCGCCTCCCCTTCCTCAGTCGACCCCTGTGCCTCGTTGGGCGTCGAGTACATCTCGGTGGTCGCCTGGAAAACAACAGACAAGACGAAAGTCAATCGACCTACTCAAAGAAGACCAATGCAGAAAACAAGATATCGGTCGGGAGCACAAAGACATACCTGGTCCACCTCATACGAGTTGTCGAGTGGGATTAATCTCCTGGCTCCTCGGGGGTTGTCTTTGTTCCCCGTGATGCTCGACAGCCACCCCTCCAGCATCTCGTCGGTGACCTCCTCCGGGTGGATCCGAGTGGTGTCGTCGAGACCCGAATACAGCCACATCGGGTGGTCGCGGGCCTGGAGCGGTTGGATGCGCCTTTGGAGGAAGACTTCCAGCAGGTCCATACCAGTCACACCCTCACGGACAAGCTCAACCACTCGACCTGCCAACACTTTGACTTGGGCCCTTTCCTCCGGCGCGACTTTCAGAGAGGCAGGCTTCTCGGCTCGGTCGAGGGAAAAAGGAGGAAGACCAGTCGACTGTCCTGGGGTCGCCTGGTCCTGACAGTAGAACCAGGTCGACTGCCAACCACGGACCGACTCCGGGAAGGTGATAGATGGAAAACAACTCTTTCCCCTCGTCTGGATCGCCAGGCCCCCGCACAGCTGGATCACCTGCGTCCTCTCGTCACTTGACTTGGCCTTCTTGACCGATTGAGAATGGCAGGTAAAGATGTGCTTGAAAAGTCCCCAATGGGGGCGGCAACCCAAGAAAGCCTCACACATGGAAATGAAGGCAGCAAGGTACACGATGGAGTTGGGAGTGAAGTGGTGGAGCTGCGCTCCGAAGAAGTTCAGGAAACTCCGGAAGAAAGGATGGGGCGGCAGAGAAAACCCTCGGTCGATGTGGGTGGCTAGGAGCACGCACTCACCGTCGCGGGGTTGAGGTTCGACCTCTCCCCCCGAAAGACGCGCAGCTTCGTGGGGAATGACTCCCCCTCGACCATGTCGTCGAGATCCTCTTGCCGGAGCACCGACGGCATCCAGTCGCCCTGGATCCAACCTTTGGGCAGGGCGGTCCTGGAGGAAGATCCGCCCCGAGCAGACCTCTTCCCTTTCCCCGCCGCCGCCGCCTTCTTCGCGCGCTCCAGAGCAGTCGTCTTGCCCTTCACCATCATCGCCGGCAAAATCTCGAACGGGTTTGCGGCGCTAGGGTGAGAGCGGAGGTGGCGGAAGGACTTGCGAAGGGAGAGAGGAAGAAGAAAGGAGAAGAGAGCGCACGGCTTGGAAGCCACGAGCCGACAACTTATAAGGGGCCGCTCCCGAGTGGCTGACTAGTAGGCCCAGGCTATCCAGTCAAATCCCGCAGCAGACGCGCGCGCAGTACGTGGCGAAAAAGGTGGCGCGGAGATCGAGGAGCTTCCGCTTTATCACTTCCGATTACCGCGGCCGCTCCCGTCCCGCGCGCTTCCCAAAATCCGAATCCCGCGACATCCACGGACCACAGAACAACTTGCCAAAAACAGAAGACCCCGCTCGCGCCGACACTCGGCATGTCACAAGCAAAGAAATTCACTCGACGAAAGGCCTAGAATGGATCAAGGCGACTGAAAAAGGTTGATCATGTCATCCGTGACGATCGGCCCGAAACGAGGCACTCGTGTAGCCCAAAGAACCAGTCGGAAAGATCCCCAACTCTTTCCCCACTCTGACCTCGATCCATTCGGGGGCTAATGATGAAGCTATGTACCTAGGGTAGGGGCACGGACCCGTCCAAAGAGCCCTACCCAAGGACATCCCTAGAAGAAGTCACCTTTCAATCGACTTGAAGGTATCCCACTCGACGGGTTCAAGACACTCGACCAAGAAGCCATCACTCGACCATGAAGTCAATCACTCGACTGCCAGGAGACCTAAAGTCACTCCGCAGGCAAACGGTCAGCTATAAGTAGTCTTTATGGTCATTATAGCACCTTATTAGGGGCGTTATCAGTAACGCCCAACCTTAAATGTACCTTAAACCCTGCATTACTGAGGGCAGGAGGGGCCCGGCGAACTCTATATAAGCCACTCCCCTCCTCAGTATGAAGGGTTCGCACCCCTGTAATCCATACACGCATAATCCAGTCGACCGCCTCCGGGCTCCGAGACGTAGGGCTATTACTTCCTCCGAGAAGAGCCTGAACTCGTAAACCTCGCGTGTTACAACTTCCCAATAGCTAAGATCTAGCCTCTCCATACACACCCCCCTACATCACTGTCAGAGTTAGAACCACGACACTTCCCCTTCTAAATTTACTCCACTAAGTTTTGTTCGGACCTAGCCGACCCCCTATGTATAATGGAGTAAAAAAATTCATTTGCATTTCATTTTCGGCCACCAAAACACATTTCTTTGCTTATTTTTTTATTCAACGACATGTTGATAGATTGGAGTACATAATTCATCAATTCTTCGCTACAAGAGCAAGACCAAAGAAAACAATAACCACTATTAGACATTTTAAAAGATATCCAATTTTCGTAACTGCTCACATTAGTTGGATTATATCTTCTCTATGTCTTCATTGTTGATCTCCGGCTTTGAGTTTGCACACTTTTCTGTTCTTTGATTCTAAAGTAGACATTGCTTCGCATCTAATCTCATCTCTAGCCTCTATTCTAACAACGAGTGCACAAATATCTATTAATTTTCGTGCTATCAATAGATCGATGTATTCTTCTTCTCAATAACAAAACTTGCATCCATCCTACTCACAAATTTGAGCAAACAACTAGCTACCAAATTGCGCCGAATCCGGTGAACAACCAAATCAAAAGAAGCACATACCGCATTATTTTTGCACTTGAAGGACATCCACCTGGGATGTTGCGGCATGGTAGAAACTCCGCGCACCACCTGCCGCGGGTAGTCGTCGCATTGTATGAGCGGCAACGGCGAGCCGACGAGCCACTGGGCCGGCGTCGAGCGCAGACGACGGCCGGGCATGTCTTTGCCGACGGGAGAGATTCGACTGGCTAGAGGCGGAGTCGATACCCGCATACGGCGCGGAGGCGTTGCCATGGCTGTGCGGTCCGATTCGCGGCCAATCCATGGCAAGGCACAATCGCCGACGGCCAGAAATGCCAAATCCGACGGCGGCGGCAGCAACCGCAGATCCACTGGTTCTGCGCTGGCGACGGGAAAAGGAGGCACAATCCAAGTATTCGAGGACCACGGCAGAGCCAACGGAGCGTCCGTAGCGGCGGGCTAGTTCCGACAGGGGGTGGGAGGGGCGGCGCAGGCGCAAATGTGGCGGGGTAGTGGAGCGGGGAGGGAATGGAGGAGAGGCGCGACTTTTACTCAGCCGCGAGCGGTGGAGTAAATATAGTGAAATTCATCGTGGCTGTGTATAATCTTTGCTCCCTTACGACGAATTGGGGATCGGCTAGATGCTAATTAAAAAAGTAAAACCGAATTTTCACTCTTCGAACCGGTTATAAGGGATCGGTTAGAAATGCCCTAACCACGACGGTGCGAACCAGGAAGAGAATGGCGCTCAATTCCTTGATCTCGGTGATCATCAGGTTCATCTGGCTGGAACGCAACTCTAGGGTTTTCGAGCAAACGGCGACGATACCGACGGAGTTAGGCGTGCCAGTGCCGAGCTTGTGTTTGTCAAGCGTGCGCGGTCAAGCGGAGACCGCAACGAGTGAATGCCCTGCAGGTTCTTTCTGGGGGCCGAAGTAGTTTGTTTTGGTGCGTGTGTGAAGTGTGAACTTTGGACTCAGACGCTCATCCGGCTCTCGGGAGGCACTACGGCACTACTACGTTCAGATGCTGAGTCCGAAGCCCTATCGTTCCACCCGTCACATACCGTACAAAAGACTTTTCCGGCCAAAATCTGAGTATCTGACCACCTTTTGTTCTCTTCTCAGCCATTGCTGTGCCGACCTTCCGATCTCGTGTAACATCGAGCGATTTCCGTGCTGACAAACATGCATGAGGATGTACTTGGTCCAACATTCCGGTGCGGAAGAGCTAACGATTCCGGCTCCATGCGACTAGTAGTTTTCTTTTCTTTTTGTTATAAACTCCACAACTGTTGATTTGTAGCTGCATCTTAACAGTCACAATCAGCCAGAACCAGCTTCAACAAGATATATACGCTGGTGCATCCAAGCACATGGGGAAATTTGCTAATTATACGCTAATGTGACGATGATTGCTCCTTTGTATATGGAAGACGTACAATTGCTAACACGAATACATGGTTACACAACAGCGAGTTACAACCAAGTACACATTTTCTTGGAACTAATGGACACATTCCCCATATGTATCAGTAATATTTGCTCAAAATAGCAAAATAAAAAACGTTATCACAAACATATATGTTCACTCAGCGTCCAAGAACTTACCATCTACGAGACTTGTTCAGTATTAGAAGGCGGTGTGCTATATCTGCCATCGCTGGTCTTTGATCCACGTCAAGGTTCAGACACTCGACTGCCATTCCTGTCAGATTTTGAAGAAGCTCCATGTCTTCCGCTGCCGCAATTTCATTGTCAAACAAGTTGGTTGCTCTGTTCTCGTTGTTGTGAACTTCGAGGAAGCTCTTTACTAAGTTGTTATTGTCAGAATGTGTGGCCTTCTTCCTACTAATAAGTTCCAACAACACCACTCCGAAGCTATAGACGTCACTCTTTTCAGTTAGCAGGCCTGGCTGTAGATATACTGGATCCATATAGCTCAAGTCACCGATAACTTTTCCGGTGTGGTCTTTGTCTCCCGCAATCAACCTTGATATGCCAAAGTCCGAGATCTTGGGGACAAACTTATCATCCAAAAGTATATTTGCTGGTTTGACATCACCGTGTAGGATTTTGGTGTTTGTTTTTGAATGCATGTAAGCAAGACCATCTGCTGATTCTACAGAAATACTTAAACGTATATCCAAGTTTAGAGGCTTCTTGTCTTTGCTGTGAAGAATGTCATCCAGGCTACCACCAGAGAGAAATTTGTATACCAGCAACGGGGTACCAACCTCGAGGCAACAACCTATGAGCCTAACAATATTCTTGTGGATGACTTGAGATTGGATGATGACTTCATTTGCAAATTGGTCATTTTCCAGCAGACTACCACTAATCGGTTGCTTCACTGCAACTTGTTCTTTACCAAGAGTGCCCTTGTAAACTATACCGAACCCACCTCTTCCGATAAGATTGCTTTCCTTTAAAATTGGCACGAGCTCCTCCTTTTTGAAAATTTTAATATTTTTTTGCTCTCTCTAGTGTAGGTCCACCATTCTTTTCGTACAACTCCCTGGTCTTCCTTCTCTCTTTGCGGAGAAGAACTAGGAATGATATAACCACTATGATAGAAATACCACCAATGATACCTACATGCGAAAACATCCTACAAAAAGTTTGCAACAAATGATATTGCATAAAAGATAATAAAATACTGATTCAACAAGTTATTTAGAATTTGACTTAAAAGTAGAATTACAAGTGAATAGTTTAACACTAGAAAGAAAGGGGAGAGACTCTGACTTGTCCTCTTCGAGTCAGCGACCCTCACAAAGTAAGCCATATATATGTACTCTGCCTCGGGGAATTGGATTTCTATACCAAGCGGAAGTATTTGTATGTGGAGTTGTGGACCTTTTTTGGTTGCATCCTTGTATGTTTACCGCAAGGTGGATCGAGAAATTGAGAAAATGCATAAATGAATGGTGGGCGCGCACAAGCCTGGATGGAAGGGCGCTGGATGGGTGATGCCGCTGGCCGGGCAATGGATTTGTTCCAGCGATGTGTGGAATTGTTCCATAGCGTATGGCTGCATGCATCCTCACGGGTGGGCAAGCACTTGTTTTGGTCTGGCCTCCCCTCGCCGGTGGACGGGCGCTCAGGCGGTGGTGGTTGATCTAGATTTTGATTGGCCTATTTGGTGGTGGATGCAAAATAGCTTTGACCTCCTATCGGCTCCATGGCGGCTGTGGCCACTGAAAATCTTTGTGAGGGTTCATCTCTCTAGATTCGGTGCTTCGGCGATGAGATGCAAACTATGGATGGCGGCTTGACGCAGAGGAATGGTTGTACAGCGGCATCGTTGGTAGCGTGTAGCTGCTCGGATTGCGGAAAAGTGATGGCGACATCACATGAATGACTACAATGGTGGTGCTTCTTGAGCACCTAGTATCGAGCTCCATGGTGAAAGCCCAGGTCTGACCCGAGTTGGTTATACTTGGCAATGGCGATATTCATACGTCGTTACCTTGTTGAAGGCATTGCTCGGATATGCTCGGACCGTTTCTTCAAGGTGAAAACCTAGATTCTATCCTTCGGTGGTTGGATCCGGTGACGCGGGCGCCTAAGCGTCGCTCCCTTTGTGAAGGCGTTGTTGTTGAAGAATCTCGTCGTTCACGTATTGTCATGAGATGGTTGGTGCGGATATGGTCTTTCCTATAGTTTGCCGATCAAAGATCTGATCACTTAGTTTTCTTTTTTTGCCTCGCCTATGCATAGCTTTGGTCTTATATGACTTTGATATTTGCCCGCATGTGCTTTTGTGTGTGTTAGTGTTGGCTGTGTGCATCCTAACTATGCATAGGCCGGGTGTGTGCTCATCATGTTTGTATTCTCTTGATACTTTGTTTTGAGCCAATAAAATCCACCCTTTATCGAAAAAAGGAATTGAGCAAAATGCACCAAGGAAGAAAATAGTGTTGGATCCAATGTGAATGTTGTGCAGATTCGAGCTTACTAAGCTAGTCTCTACGTTGGTATTGGTTGTGTCCATCCTAATCGTTTAGAGGCCTGACATGTGCTCATAGTGAATGTATTCTCTTGATGCAACATTATAAGTCAATAAATTCTGCTCTTTATCGGAAAAAAAACTAGTCTCTATGTACTTGTAGCTCCCGAGGAAGCGCGTGAGGACCTTTTACTTTGATGAATTTTGACCACGGCACACATTATTCTCATTTTCATGTACTTTTATAATTTGTTTTGATAGTGATGTGCTTTGAAAGGAGAAGCTACCCTGCTATGCCAACAAGCTGAAAGGGCCTTAATGGGATCTTATGTGCCAAAGTCTTAAAGCCATTTCAATCCCATTCTCAAAATCATTCTAAACATCATTTGAATGACCCTCTTAAAATTTCATCTGTTCTTTAGAGCAAAAATATTCATACACCAAAAAATATATTGCCAAAGGCACCACGCTCCACCAAAATATTGTGGGTTCTATTTGAAATGATTATTTTACATGTGAGCTAGATTGATTAGTACACCTGCCATTGAACTTTTCTAACTTTGACAATAAAAGTATACAAAATTATTTAGATTGGTTAGTTCATATTTTGGTTTTGTTTCTCATAACTTTTACTGAGAGAAATACTACTATAGAGCATATTAGTCAAAGGCATATGGTATGTTGGAAACCATGCCAATTTCTTGATGATCCAGAGCACTGTGCATCCTAGCAGGTCCTTTGGACTGGCATTGAAGTGGAAATGTGGAATACACAGATAAGCCAAAATCAAAAACTAGGAAAAGAAGAGGACCACGCAAGCTCACACAGGGTAACTGGCCCCATTATTTGGTCAAGGATGACGGCTCGTTTCTGGGCCTGTCTTGAGCGTGCGTACACGCAAATGAGCAGGGGCCGTGTACGTAGTTGTCCATGTACCCAGCCACTCAAAAAGAAAAAAAAAGAAAAAAAAGCTGTCCATGTACCCCATTTTCACTTATTATTTACCTATCTTTTCAGACTTCATTTTAGAATTAACATGGTATCCTATATGAACATTCATCCTATCCTATACTTTTATTAATTAAGTACATGTCAGTAGTATTAAAATTAGCAGCATATGTATTAGCAGTTGAAGTGGTACTTACCCACAATCGCCTTGGCTACAATGGGAAATTTCTCCACACACTGTCCCAATTTCCCATCGCCTCTCATTCCTGGCTTGCATGGACAGTCATATCCTCCCGGCCTGTTCTTGCATATGCCTTTGCTCGAGCAGTAGTATAGATCCGGGAACTTGCACTCATCGATGTCTTGAGAAGATAAAATTAAGGGCATGAAAGTAATTAAGCTTGAGTTAGTTAATTATTAGTCGTCTAAGACAGGATGGAGTGTGCTACTAGTAGGTCAACGAATTGTTAGCTTGATTGAGAAGAGATGGTACCTCGGCATCCATTGGCGATGTAAGGGTTGCCCTCGTAGTACTCCGAGCATTTGCACACGTAGCTGAGTGCATAGCCGGAGAGGCCAACCGTGGCGTTGACACAGTAGCTGTTGCTGCTGGCGCACGCGTAGTCCGGAGGTGGCCGCTGGCCTTTCGCCGGGCACGAGGCGTTCCCGACGATGGCGAAGTCTAGCACGACGGGGAAACTCTCCATCAGCAGCGTGTCGCCGTACAGGTCCGGCGTGGAGAAGACGTAGCGCGACTTCTCGACCACCATGGCGTAGGAGCACGGGCTGGACCTCCACAGGGCGTTTTCGTTCGGGACCACGAGCCCCGGCTGGACGCTGCCGTACACCGGCTCCGGGGGCAGGGCGGCCTCGCAGCAGCCCTGCCCCGCGCACGACCCGTTCCTCGCCGCGAGCTCCCGCCCCGTGCCAGTGCTGCAGGCGAGCGTGCTCGAGCCGTCCATGGCGACGTCGACCCTCCAGCCCACGCCGACGACGACGTTGAGCGTCTGCGACACGGCGAACGGCCCCTGCGTGACGCCGAGCGTCATGGCCTGAGTTTGGAACCTGTACTGGGTGCTGTTGGTGCTGCAGCCGGACGTGATGGGGCCGTACGCCCGCGCCTGGCTCATGTCGGCTGACATGTCCACCAGCTCCACCGGAAAATACGAGGTGTTGAACCCCAGATAGGCGGCGGCGTCGGAGGCCGCCGAGGCGTCGCTGTCGGTGACCGTCATGCGGTTGTTATCGGTGTCGGCGAGGAACGCTCGAGGGGGGTCGACGGAGTGGTCGCAGATGACCTGGAAGCCCTCGCGGAAGCAGCCGGGCATCAGGCCGAAGGGGAACGGGATGCTCAGGTTGCCGCACTTGTCAGGGCAGCCCGGACGTGTGATCGGCAGCTGCTCGGCTAGTTCTTCAGCCCCGGCCATGGCTGCTGCGCCTGCAAGAATGAGTAGAAGCTGGACTGGCCGCGGCAGCAGCCTGCATTTGGAGGGCGTGGGCATGTTCCTGGGCGCGATATGTTTTTCTTTCCTTTTTTCTTTTTGGCTAGCTTCGATGCTCTGCGGTTTGCGCACCATGTGTTATATAAAATCAGGAGTCAACAGAGTCAACTGGAATTTCAAAAAAATAAAAAATAAAACAGCGAGTCGACTGAGCTTTGTCGCCACGGACTTCACGCGTTTCCTCGAGTTTGTATTTTTGTTTCGGGAAAGGTTTGTGCCCCGCCGACGCGGCCGAGTTTTTGGCCGGTCTAGGATGGCACCCGTAGAGTTTGGGTATGGGTGGAGTTATTCTATACCCTTACCCATCCCATTTGAGCTTGCAAATAGACATAATTTTTTTTCATATCCGTCATCTGACAGAGATACAAAATAAATGGATTGTCGCGGATGAAAATACCCATGATTGAGTAACATTAATTTAAGCATCACATAATTATAAACAACAACATATAATCATAATTTATATATAACAACACTTAATAACATCAATACATACTTAGGTGGTGTTTGGTTCTTTAGTCCTAGGACTTTTTCTAGTTCATAGGACTTTTTGAAAAAGACTCTCAAGGAGGTGCTTTTAGTTCCACCCTGTTTGATTTGCTAGAGACTTTTTCTAGTCCCAACACAAAAAGTCTCGGGAACCAAACACCCCTTTATAAACAACAACCCATTTTATAAAAATCAACACTTTGTTGTAAACAATAACACATAGTCATAGATAGTAGCATATAGTCATACATTTTAAGTTGACAAACTCATGACAAAATATATAGATAATTTGTCGATATTTGTTAGATTTTATAAGGGTACATGGGTACGCGGGTATGGCTTATGTGATCCCATAACCTTACCTGTTGTACCCGATGAGTTTGAGATTTGTCTATTTATATACCCATTGGTAATGTTTTGTCCCATGCTCTTACCCTAATAGGTTTTAACCCGTAGGGTACATGAATGTTCGATTGGGGGCATCCTATGGCCAGAAGCACGTAGGAACCCACCCTTCGCTATCTTCTTTCTCGACTTCGATTTCACTCCTCTCGAGTCCCGCTGCTACCCGCCAGCGTTCGATGTCGCTGACCGTAGTTGGAACCGTGTGCCGGCGAGCTGTCACCGCACGCGGCTGGAGTACAAGCTGTTGATGTGCTGGCGAGGGAGCTGCAACCCACATCTGGCGGAGCTGCAACCACCGAGCTGCATCGACTTTGTAGGGGAGCTGCAACGGTGCACGGCCGTGTTGTGGTAGCGCAACGAACAGTATGTCGGCGGAGTTGAACGGCGAACGATGGGGCCCTATTAATGTTGCAACCGACTACACGAATTGCCGGAACCAACATTCCGAAGAGTTACGACGATTAATTTTTTTTGAGCATCAGTACAGACACAAGCGCTCATATACACGCGCATACACTCACCCCTATGAACGTATACACGCACATCCTATCCCTATGAGCACCTCCGAGAGACTGAGCCGGCATATTATTTTGAGATTTACGAAGTCACCGTAGGCGCCTCGTCGTCGACGGGAACGTCTCCTCCCACTGAAAGCGCATCGCCGGAAAATCCTGAAATAAATGCAGGAATAATGCGAGCACCAGGATTTGAACCCTGGTGGGTTGGGGATACCACTGTCCACCTAACCAACTCAACCACAGGTTGATTCGCAGAGTTACGACGATTATGTAGTGGTATGACGGCGGAGCGCAGTGGGGTGCCGCGACAATGTTGCAACGGGCGTCACGATTTGCTAGAATAGACGTCGCGATTTGCTGGAGTCGGAGACCGTGTTTGCGGGACGAGCTGTTGCAAGAACGATGAAATGCTACAACCAACGCGGTGATTTGCTGAAACCATTGTCACGGTATAGTGAAACGGGTATCCCCTCTGGAATATCATGTCTTGGGCTGTAGTCTTATTAGGACTTAAGGCTGGGCCATATTTTGACTTCTTGTCTTGGCCTATATTCTAGACCCTATTTTGACTCGTATTGAGCCTTAGGCTAGGCCATATGTATGTATGCATCTGCCCCTTGGGTATAATCTCGTCACTACTCAGTGTTTGTGTGTGATGATCGATGTACATGTGTTTACATGGATTTGAAGTTTCAAAAATAGTGGTTGTGGTTGCAAATTAGTCGGTTAGGGCATCTCCAACAGCAACCCGTAAAAAACCTCCCGCATCTGTCCGTGAACAGAGGGACCAGTCCGCGGACATGGATGCGGGAGGAAGCCATCCAATGCTAGCCGCATATGTTTCAAACCATTTTTTTAACAAACCGGATGAAATTCATGCAAACACGAGTGTATTTCATACAAACATGACGGATTTCAAACAAACATGATGGATTTAACTATGTTCCAAACATTTAGAACAAAAAAAAGACCCGTCCCAAAAACCTACTCCCTCCATTCCAAAATAGATGACTCAACTTTGTACTAATAGAACGGAGGGAGTATCCTACAGCGGCGGTGCCCGACGTCCAAGCCCGTGTCGTCCTCCTTCCTCCTTCTTCATGAGCACCGGCGATAAGATCGATGAAGTGAAGGTGCGGTCTCCGGTGAGGAAGAGTAGAACACGGGAGATGGACCCGCCGCCTCCCGTGGCCTACTCATCCCCGGAGGAGTCCGCACCTTGTCCGTCGACGCTGGACGTGAGGTCCATGAGGGAAATGGTGGTGCCTTGGCTGTCGTCCTCCCACCGGGCCGACTGATGGTTCGTCGGTGGCGCGTAGGAGGCGCATCTTGCTATGTTCTCCTTCGCGACCGCCTGCAGTTGCGCCTCCGTGGCTGCCGCTTCCTGTCGAGCGGTGGCTTGAGCGCGGACGACATCATAGATGCACGCTGCTCCGTGACAAAATTTGGGTTTGCCGCGGCCATGGTCGCCACGGCCTCCTCGTTCGCGTGCTCGCCATAGACCTAGTCCTCCGCCAACCGGTGCTACTCCAGGAGGAACAGACTGTACTGTTGTTCCTCCTACGCATGCTGGAACACCGACAAAGGCGCAGACGCAGGCTGCACCTCCGCCATGGCGCCGTTGAACTGCGCATGCGCCTTCTCCATGGTGAAGTCGGCGTGCAAATGAGGTGCAGGAGCCGTGGCAGAGTTGTCGGAGCCCGTCTCCATCGTGATGTCGTCCTCGTCGTTGGAGACCTCGTGCGAGTTGGCCGGCAAGCCGACCTTGATCCGCCTAGCACGGCGGCTATGCCAGGCGGCGGCAAGGGCGGCCACCACATGCTTCATCTCCGGCGACAAACTGTCCCACAGTGTTTTCCCACTGGCGGTCATGATGGATGCAGTGCAAGGAAGGAGGATGTAAAGGGGCTGGTGTTGTGGTGTGGTGTTAGCCGGGTGTGGCCGCCTTTATATAGCGAATTCCGGTGAGGCCAGGCGTCCGGGTGCGTCAATGCGCGGCACCGGAGTGGGTTTCTCGGCCGACGAGTCTGCTTAATGGCAGCAGACGGACGAACAACAACATTGAACAGGCGCGGTAGAATTCACCCCGCCCCATCAATTCATGTGTCTCTAGCATTGAACAGGCACGAACACCGGAGACGCATCGCGGGCGGCGCCTTCGGCCGGCGTGCCGCTACAATGGCGGAGACAGCAAGAGGCCGCGTCTGTCCTGAGCCGTCTTCAATGTTGAGCGGCACACTCTATAGCGGCATGAATGTGGGTAGTTGGCACTGGGTTGGAGCGCGCACGGGAGGGGAGGGGTTTTTGGTGGGCCAGGACGACCTGAAAACGGGCTTTGGATCGATCCGGACTTCTGCAAATGTCTCCCACGTTTGTCTCTGCTTTACGGAAGAAATCGTGTCTAGACCGCTCTATGGACCGATACCGGTCGGCGTTGGATGGCTTCCGCTGTCCAGACAGCCCGTCCGACCGGTTGCGGGAGGTTTACGGTCCACCTTGGAGATGCTCTTAAGGCCGGTTCAGCGTTGTTAATGGACGCGTTCGTGGATGTATATGGGCTCAGATTTATCAACTCTGGGTGTAGATGCTCTTTGTTCTTGTGTAACCAGGTAATCAAGCATCTCTTCCTAAAAAAGGTAATCAAACACCTTAAAAAAGGTAATTAAGTTACCAAATATACGTCGTCCATAAACGAGCAATTAATCATGGCCACAGTAGAAGAACTGGTAGCGTGCGTAAAGTCAGCAGTTTCCAGTCGTGCTTGAAATGAACCAGGCCTTGTCTGGTTGATGCGATGGACATGCAGCTAGAGACAAACATCATCGACCGATGCACACGGCAGGGGGCACACACGCGGATGCACGAGGAGTCTCTCCCTTGGGCACCGAAATCTTGGACCAAGTACGTCCTCATCTTTTGTCAGCATCGAGAATCCAGATATGGGATCGGTAGCGGCTTGGGCGAGAAGATAACGTGGTAGTACATTCGTACAGTGGAACGTTTGGCTTTGGCGGCCGGAGAGACTGGTAAGTCTCCGCTGAAGGAAATATGCCCTAGAGACAATAATAAAGTTATTATTTATTTCCTTATATCATGATAAATGTTTATTATTCATGCTAGAATTGTATTAACCGGAAACATAATACATGTGTGAATACATAGACAAATAGAGTGTCACTAGTATGCCTCTACTTGACTAGCTCGTTAATCAAAGATGGTTATGTTTCCTAATCATGAACAAAAGAGTTGTTATTTGATTAACGAGATCACATCATTAGTTGAATGATCTGATTGACATGACCCATTCCATTAGCTTAGCACCCGATCGTTTAGTATGTTGCTATTGCTTTCTTCATGACTTATACATGTTCCTATGACTATGAGATTATGCAACTCCCGTTTGCCGGAGGAACACTTTGTGTGCAACCAAACGTCACAACGTAAATGGGTGATTATAAAGGTGCTCTACAGGTGTCTCTAAAGGTAAATGTTGGGTTGGCGTATTTTGAGATTAGAATTTGTCACTCCGATTGTCGGAGAGGTATCTCTGGGCCCTCTCGGTAATGCACATCACATAAGCCTTGCAAG